GACGGTTTTCGACGGTCGGAAACCGTCGCAAACCGTCGGCTCGCCATAACCTTTTGAAGAATGGTTCACCGACCTGCAGTTTATACCATCTGATAGCTCTGCTCGAGATCTACAAGATGGTTAAATTCAATTTCTGAAAGAGCTCCATCTAGGATTGCGCCATGCACTCGACCTCCATCCCGAGAAGTAATGAATATACTTTGTATGTGATGCGCATATAAGTCCTCCTATGCAGCCTGATCATCCCACAGAAACATGGATCTCAACACCCTCAGAATACGCCACGTACCCAACCGGTCCACCATATGGTGAGATTGAATGAATGTTTTTTTTTCGAATTTCACGATCTTTAATTCGTTCTAGAGCGCTAATTGGCTAACCGTGCGCTGATCAACCCATTCTTCCACTCCAAATGAGAATCTTCGAACAGTTTCCAGCAGTAGTAGTAGACCTATTATGTGACATTCCCCACATTTAGAGGAGATGATTTGCGGAAACCTGAGAAGATAGCCAGGAATCTCTCCACAGACGTAGACTCCAGTTACTTCTCTGTAAGATTGATGTAGAATATTTGGTCACGGGTAAGCGCTCCGTCCGTGGTGTGGCCCCAAACATCACTCTCCGTCATGCCCTAAAATGAAAATCAGAGTTTTTGCTCTTCCAGATGACTCTACAGAGCTGAGGGGTGCACCGTTCGATTTCCCATGAAAAATACTACCGAATGGTGTACAACTCAGGTTTCACACAAAACTTTGTTTTTCTCACTTTTTTGCTCCCCATTGCCGATCGTCCTCCCAGCCCTTGGCGCCACGTGCGATTTAGCGAGAAATTCTCTCCACCGACGTGGACTCCGGTCACTTGTCTGTAGGAAAGAGGTAGAATATTTGGTCACGGGTAAGCGCTCCGTCCGTGGTGTGGCCCCAAACATCACTCTCCGTCATGCCCTAAAATAAAAATCAGATTTTTTGCATTTCCAGATGAACTCGCAGACCTGAGATGTGCCCCATTTGGATTCCCCGTGAAAAATGCTATCGAATGATATACATTACTCCTCCCAGTTGAAACTTTGGTTTTTCACCGTTTTCAGCCTTCCCCTATTGCCAATTGCGCATCATTATTCCACTATTACTATCCCAAAATCTCAAAGTTTCATTTTTCGTCGAAACTTTGCCTATTGGGGTAATTCGATGCCCTGATTACGAATATGACATTCATTCTCGTAGTGGCCCCAAACATCACACCTCGCCCCATTTTTTGCGACATGTTCCATGTTTAGAGCAGATGTTATGTAGAAAGCTGTGAAGGCAGCGACGAATTTCCTTTACTGTCGTAGACTACGGTCACTTGTCTGTAGGAATTACATAGAAACCTTGGTGGCAGGTGAGTCTTCCTTCCGTAGTGCGACCCCAAACATCACACCTCGTCATGCCCTTGCGATATGATCAGATTTTTTTTGGTTCTCCAGATGAACATAGAAGACTGAGATGTGCACCATTCAATTCTCCATAACAAATACTGTCGAACGGTATACAACTCACTTTTTGGAGAACATCTAGTTTACCTGCCACTAGATCCATTTTGTGACATTTCGCAATTTTCGAAGGGATGTTTTGAGGAAATTCGAGAAGG